CAGCATCTTCTGGATTTTGGGGTTGATGTCCTCCTCCTCCTCCTCCTCCTCCTCCTCCTCCTCCGCCTCTCCTCCTCCTCCTCCTCGTCCTCCTCCTCTCTGCGTGGGTGTGTCGTCGATAGCTTCGCCGCCTCAAAGCCTGCTATTCACGCTCGTAACGTATCTCTGCGGCAACCATGGGCTCTCCTTTTCCCATGCAGGCCTTCCCTGTTGACGTCGCGCCGTTGCCGCGGAGGTCGCGCCGTCCAGGGGGTGGTCGATTTGCCATCGCTGTTGAGCAACACATCTCTTCACCGAGCTGTATCCGATACACCGTGATGCACCACTTCAGCAGTGAGACAGGACTTCCAAAGCACGCTTTATACCCAGACATGGAGGGCCTAGGGGGTGAGGCCTTGCACTGGCTATACGTCCCTCAACTACGACTAGCTTAGGACCCCAAAACAAACAAAACATGTTCTTCCATGTTCTTCCTTATAAGGGTAATATAGGGATTATTGTCTTGTATTTCTTGGTGTTCTTAAGCAAATAGTAGTTTTGAAAAAAGCCATTTGCTGAGGGCTCTTTGGAATTCAGCGGTCACCGGAGTCTCTGGTTTCCGAGCCTCTGGGCCAGGGGATCGCTTCAGCGCCTCCTTCAGATTATACATGGATGTGCATGCATTACATGTATATCTCTCTGTGTATATATATAGCTTACATAGCACCTGACCAGGTTGCTTCATGGAGCAGCTAGGTTGCGTCGTCGGCACTTTTGGCACTTGGAGGCCTTGGCCATAGTTCTGCTCAGTGAGATATGGGCCGCAGGCAAAGTATTTGTCCGAGCATGGTGTGCCATGATGATTAGGACGACCATAGACTGTGGTGCTATGGAGTTTAGACATGAGCTCAATATGATAGTCTTTGTTCCTGGTGTGCTTCTGGGCCAAAGGACCGCTCATGTGCCAGTTTCTTGCAGCACTGCTCCCTTGGAGCCCTATAGACCTTGGGTGGTTTGCTAATGATTGCCATGCAGTTGTGTGTCAAGTGCAGGCAGACGACGCTCCACCCAGGCGACGCTTCTTTCGAAAGGTTGCTGCAAGGCCCGAGCAGGCCCGAGCATCTTGGGATGATGGAGCATTGAGAAAACAACGGAAGGTGGTAAAGCAATGCAAACAAGTACCGAGCATGGTATTCTAACACCTGCAGTTCAATTCAGCTACTTTCGTGCCATGTTCCAACCCAGTTAAATGCTTTCGTGGCCCGGCACTGTGCTTGTAGGAGATGGTGACATCGTCAGATGCTTGGCAGGCGTGTTTGGCATGTATTGTGCCAGCTACCCTGATTGAAGCATTGTTGCTGAGTTCACTGCCAAAGTGCGTACTTGCACGTGCACTTGCTGACCTACATGAGGAAGATGGGAGGGGGAGGGATGCAGGCAGTGAGAGAAAAAAGAGGTAATCTGGAAGCCTCCTAAGTCCAACTGGACACCAGGACGTGCTTTCATGCGCGGGAGGAAAGTGGCGACCATGATCCACTTGACCTTACAGCGAAAGAAACTGCAACAATTCCATTTTAAGGGTTCAGACGCCCTCCGCTTGTCTATCTCGTCTGGGGGCCAAGAACAAGACACAAGGGACAGCCTGAATTCTCACCCTGCCCAGGCGAAAGGCGATTGCACACAATACCACCTTGCGCCGCCCAAGACCTATTGAAGCCTGAGCCCTGAAACCGCCAAACCCTTCCCCAAGCTCTATACCCTGAATCTGTTGAAGCTTCGCGTGTTCAGCCTGTCGTTCTGCCAGGCCGCAGTCGCGGCAGCGACGCAGGTCAGCAACTTGAAGGTGGGTTTAGGGGTATGCTCTGAGTCTGCGTTTCGAAAAGGGTTTTGGGTTTTGGGGCTTGCTCGCGTGGTGAGTCTTTCGTCCTTCGGGCCTCCTGGCAGGGTCGTTCCAGCCCAGCTGCAGAAACCAAAAAGGGTTTAGGTTCCTCGGCAGTCCTGGGTTAAAAGGGTTGAGGGTTCAGGGTTTAGAGCTTAGGGTCTATCCTAGGGATGCTGTATGAGAGCTGTTCCGGGCCAGGGGTGGGCTTTGCAGGGTTTCGTGTAGTTCAGCCTTCATGGGTTCAGGGCCACCACCTTCTTGAGGGGGCTTGCAAAGCTCATAGCGCAGCGGGGGATTGCGCGGGTGCAGGATGCTGTGACGCACTGCCGTTTTTCTGGCAATTCGGGGGCAGAGTGCGGCCGAAATAGTTTGAAATGGCTTGACCTTGCAAAACCCTTTTGCTTGTTCAAAACTCTTAAAGACAACAGTGAGGCAACTCCTCCGGCCTCTTGTGTTCCCCTTCGCCTTCGTGCTTTCAGGCAGACCTGCCAGAGCCGAGCGCCCAGAACTGCCCGAGTTTGTTGAACTTAAAATGCCCGAAAGAGGTACACGAGGCTTGTCTCCCGACAGCCTCTACGAGTCCATCTATATTTTTAGAGCCCCCCCTGAAGCCGAATGAGCCGTTTTCATTGTCAGGCGGGGTTTGAACAAACAAATTTCGAGGCAGTAAGATTCTCTCTCGCGATCGAAGGCCACGGGAGGCTTGAACCCAGCCAAGGGGGGCTGTAGTTTCTGGAGTCAAGGGCATAAAGGGGTGGTTGTCAAAATGATGGTCCCTTTTTTGGATCCCCATTATAAGTCGGCACCTAATACTTAGGGTACCCCAAAAAGGGACCATAATTTTGACAACCACCCAAACAGATATATTTCTGATCAATGGAGGCTATCAGTACAGACCAAGGCCCGACTTCTTGCCCATTGTGCCGACACCGGCGCAGTTGCTCGGCTTGACTGTCTTCTAGGTGGGACATGGCCGAGCACGATTTTGTAGCATCGCTTGGCTAGGCATCCACATGATTCAAAGTTGTTGGGTACTTCGAAAATTTTAGCTTTAACTTATGCTTTGGATGTCCTTCCCGAGATCTACTGAGGCTTCGCGCCCCCAGTTGGGGAACGGCCTGCAGAAACGCGATAGACTCGGAATCAGACAACTTTATAGCTGTTAGTCGATCCCAGTCAGGCTGAAGACATCTTCATGTGCGCACCAATTCCAACAACATTCACGGACTTGTATTTGCAAGCCCTGGAAAGGCAGCGCAAGGAAATCTGATCACCCCTGACTACTGTACTGTTTCAATCGTCGAGAGCCGGAAGAAGCTTCGAGTGAGGAAGCCGCACAGCAAATTCCCTGAAGATCCGGCTCAGCTGCTTCTTCTGAGGCGCGTCTGGCAGCTCTCCGCGAGCGTTGTCAAAAATCTGAAGGCCTACGTGTCGGGGTGCAGGTTCACATTCGGGCTGAGGGCTTTCGGGGTTAGTGAAACAATATGTGAAGTGCTGCAGGCCTTAACTTGAGTCACGACCCTGAAAGCCTTACCCTACTGACCACCTTCGAGTGTTTTCGAACCTCCACTCGGCCGTGTGAAGTGACAGCGAAAGCCGGGCAGGAGCTGGTAGCACGAGGGTAACTAGTGACAAGTTCAGCCGGTCACAGGGGTGAATTTGGACCCCAAACACAAGAGCTTTCACCCCAAACTCCGAAGAAGCGGGACTCGGAAGATTGCGTCCTGAGGTGATGCCACCGCCTGGCTCGATTTTGCCGAGTTCCAGTGGTCACAGCTGGGCGGCCCAGAGTGCACCTTCCAAGATTGTGCTGAGGATACCAGGAGGCGAAAGAGCTGGAAGCCGTTTTGGGTCCGGAATCATGTGGATCCTACTATAGTTGAGGACTCTACTTTTTTCAAACTTCCATAAGGTGCCGACAAACCGGGATGAATCTGTCAATGCTGTCAGAGCCGCCGTTGCCAAGGGTGGGCGAAGAGCTCTCAGCTCCGCCACGCCAGGCACGAGTCCAACGTTTTGAAGTGTGAGGATGTTGGCCTTTTCCGACTTGTCGGGTTTGTATAGGGCTCAGAGGTTGACTGAGGGAGTACAGCTGTCTTGGAACGAGCAGCCTTTCCTCGGTGAGACTTCACGTGCATAGGTAGCAGAACTAAGGCATGTCGGGAGTCGGGCTTGCATTGTCACCTAGTGTAGCCTGATCCATTCAGGGCATGTGGTAGGTGGATGCAGCCGCACAGGTTCGCTTTCCTGAAATTATTCTGATTCTTTCTGGGGGTCGTGGCGTAAAACTGACGATTGTCATCTTGTGTGCTTTTGGCACTTTGCCAGAGGGCGGCTCTCTTTTCTCCATCCCCAGATCCCAGATGATCCAGCGCAAAACGAACCGCCGGTCGGATTGCAAAGGTCAGGGAGAAGCAGCGGGCCGTGTTAGAGGCTGCCCTGGCGAAGCAGCTACCCGGTGAGACTTGTGGTTCAGGTTACTGCCGGGCTTCCTTGGGCGATTATAGCCTGAACATGCCTAAAGTCTAGGAAACACAAGCAATGTTTTGAGACGAACCCCAAAGTCCCCAAAATCCCAAAAGCTCATCCCTCAGATGCCTTAGACCCAGGCCTGGGGCGCCAGACGTTAGGCAGCTCGGCGGGCTTGGCAGATTCAAGGGCTTGGGCTTCCGAAGGTCTTCCTATCGGGCTTCGAGTTTGTAGGCTGTATAGGCATGTTGCTTATTGGATTGTAGGCGTTGGGGTTTTTGGGGTGCAGGCTTCCTATCGGGGTTTGTAGGCTGTATGGGCATTTTCCTTATTGGATTTGTAGGCGTCGGGGTTTTGGGGGTGCAGGAACAGTGTATGAAGGATGGGTTCCAGAAAGGGAGTATGCATGCAAAGAGGGTCGAAAACTGGCCGCTGAAGCAGCCCGGGAGCGAAAGGAAAGCGTCCAGGTTCTTTTGGTCGAGGGTGTCGTCCAATTGCAGATGATGGCTTCTCCGGCCTTTTTCGTGACTGGTTTTGAACAACAAAACTGAACAAGGGATGCCCATGCAGGGACATATGGAACATCGTGAGGTCAGCACACAAAGCCCTGCGATGCGGCGGCAATAATTTTTCCGATCGCCTTCCTGAGCGGACGAGCGCACGCGGAGCCATGGGTGCGCCTGTGTGCATGTGGCTGGTGCTGATGACGGCTGCCCCAGCAGAGGCGAAGCAAGTACTGGTGACCGGAGGCGTTCTAAGAAGTCATCATTTGGCAGTGGTGCCTGTGGTGGAGGGCTTGCTGGAACGAGGTCACAACGTGACCTTTGCTCTTCCAAACACCAGCGAAGCCCGCGGTTGGTTTCCAAAGGGCATTGGCGGCGCAAACTTGGTATACATGGGAGACGAATCGGCATCCGTGTCAAGCGTGAAATTCCCAGACATGAAAAACCTTCGCTGGCACGAACGCATCCCTGTGTGGGGCCGTATGATCTGGAATGGAAGGTCCTTGCTGGAGAGGCCCCTCGTTTCGATGCTGGATGATTTCCGCGGACTGCTGGAGCAAAACAAGTTTGATGCTGCCTTCTCCTCAGCCATGTCGATTAGCTGCAACGCCGCACTGAAGAGTTCCTCTTTGCCGTGGGTAGGTTTCGTCAGCCTACCTCCCATCCCCCAGATGGTGCTCAGCGACACCGAGGAGGTTTGCAAGTATCCCAACTTCTGGAATCCCCGGTCGGTACCGGACCTGCAGTCTTCCCTACTGAAGCGTGCGCAGAACCGTGTGGAGTGCATGATGCAGCGGGCCTTCTTTCACGTCGGCTTCTTGGTGATCAACTCCCTTCTGCAGGGCAAGGGCCTGGAGCCCGCCAAGGACTTCACCAACCTTTTCTTGGCTGCACCTTGTTGGCAAGCTGGGGGCCGTGCACCCGACATTGCTTTGAGATCGCTAGGAGCCACACCCAACCCATGGACAGGCATTTTCCGGTCCCGGAGCCCTGCCAGAAATCAACCGTAACATGAGGCATTGACCCTCTATAAGCCTACACCTCTCATAATCCTAAAACCTGCGTTCGGAAAACCTTCGCTGAGGCACGCATCAACGTGCTCCTGGGCGGGCCGCCGCTTTCCCTGCCCATCAAGCTGCCACAGAGCGTGCACGTTGTGGCTTTGATGTCGCACAGGCAACCTGAAATAATGCTTGCTGCACCCTAAACATCCCTAAACCCTACACCCTAAACCCTGATGACACAGCGATGAGGCAGCTAAGGTCGGGACAGTGGAGAGGCCTCGGCCACGAAGCCTGCCGACAGCCCTCGGTCGATGGTTGGATGGCGCCAGCGCAGCACCCGCGCCAGTCATCTACATGTCCATGGGAACCAAGTATGAATCTGGGCTCCTACTATGGGCTGCGGCGTGTTGTTTTAGGTATCATGCTTAAAAGGACTCGGGAATACAGGAATCCTTATGATAAGTTTGGAAAAGCTGAATCTGAATCATGTACCAGCAACCCAGGAGTTTACCGAGTCCACGTGCTCGAACTTCGTTGCAGTCCTCCAGGCCCTGATGTCCAGCGGCTTCCGCATCCTCTGGGCCTTGCGTGCCGCGCAGCAAACGGCCTTCCAGCACCTGCTTCTGGGTTGCTGAAGGGCTTAGGCTAAGGTGCCATGGTATGGGCTTGTAGGAGTTCCCAAGCTTTTTCCCCTTTAAGATTGATACCTGACATCTTGTGGTTTCCGTTTGATGTTCATTTCGTTTAAGTGCTTCAACAACGACCCAGGCTCCCGCCCGGAGGCGAGAAACTTCTGATCGAGGAATTCACGCCGCAGCCCGAGGTGCTCGCTCACCCGGCGGTCAAGGTCTTCTTATCTCATTGCGGATGCTGGGCTTCAGCTGAAGGGTTTGCTTTAAATCCCGGCCAAAATGGTCTTCGTATGATCCTGGTAAATATAGTCCTTACTGGTTAAGTATACTATGGTAACAAACCAGGATGGGGCGGTGTCACGGACACTTTGGCGGCAGGTGTGCCGGTGCTGGCGTACCCTTCCTTCGTGGACCAGCTGGACAATGCCCAGCGCCTTGTTGAGGTTGGCGCCGCGGTACTGGTGCTTCCAGACTTCTCCAATCTGGTGCAAGCGGCGAAGGCGGTGCTCGGAAACGCCAGCTTCGTTGAGGCGACGCGCGCAGCAGCTTCGGATCTGCAGAGATACGGCGGCCTCGAGCGCACCCTTGACCTGGTGGAAGAAGTCGCGGAGGGCCGCTTTCCGGACATGTTGCCCCATGCAAAAGCAAAGATGAGCGAGCTGGACCCGCTGTTTCTCAGAGACCATGGGCCAGAGAAGGCCCTAAGCATGTGTTTTGCACTGCTAGTGTTCCTCTCCCTGTCGTGCTGCTGCGGCCTCTCGATTCGTTGCTGCTTCCGGTGCTGCTGCGCAAGCACCAGAGCAGCCACAACGGGCGGCAAGAAGGTGAAGGACCAGTAGCAAAGCATGCAGAAGTCTATTTCCGACGCACTTGCGGACCACCGCTGTTGAAAGTTAGCTTTCTTACTTATTCCAACTTTGCTGCTAACGTCACATGTAAGCCATCATCGCCGCGTGGAACGGTGTATTCATCATCGCCTCGTTGAGCGGTGTCAAAATGACCTGAGAGGTGCCTGGTGGGTTTTAGGGCACACAGTTGTATTTCAAACAAGCCCTTCCAGGAGGAATAGAGCCACACAAGATTGCAGACACTGCTTGCTGCTTTCGGATTTTTGAGAGGTCAAGATAGCATTCATCTAGCGTTGCAGGAATCTAAGTCATGTCAGTCTGTCAGTGGGCCATCCTTGAGCTTGGGTAGAATGGGCCCCTTCGCACATCGATTTATTTGGGCTGTCCTCAGCCACACCCGAAACTCCCCAAGGTATCACCCCAGCCTCAAGCTAAGGCTGATTCGTGCTCTTGCAGCGGCGGCTCCTAGGTTGCAGAAGGGTCCTTACACCAAGAGATGTTAACCTGATGTAGGTCAACGGCTCAATGTGGGGTATCCTGGCATCCTTCTGTGAAAGTCCCCGAGTCTGGGGAGAGGTCTCAAGCTCCACAGTCCCAAGCAAACTTGTTCAGCGCCCGAACTTTCGAGCTGTTTTAGAGCTTGGGGTTTTGAAAGGGATAAAAAACGGTTGGCCCTTGCTGCTTCACATGGTACCAAGCCAATGGTACCAAGCCTTGGCAGCCCCGAGGAAGCAGATGGAGCAGCTGCCATGTCGGTCCAGGACGGGAGACGGTGGCAGCTTTTAGGGCAGTCGTGGTGGCTCGGAAGCGGCTTCGACGTGTGTTAGCCAGGATCTTTTTCTTGTGGAAGCTGGCGGCATGATGCAAGAGGGTTTGGGCGACCAGTGCCACACTGAAACAGGACCTTCTCGCAGCTCGGCGGCAGCGGCTTCTACAGTGCAGCCACGCCGCGTGCCTGAAACTGCTGTCGCGTTTGAAGCCTCCCCCCATTGCGGATAATGATCCCTACCAATCGACTCTGCAAGGGTGGCACAACTACAACAGCAACTGCATGGACCATGTGCCACTAGACACCTCCCCTTCTACTAGACTTAGCAAAGACACTCCAGCAGAGAGAAGGCTGAAGTCGCCGAGGAGCTCGTGTGCCTCGGAGGTCTTGCTGAGGTTTAAGAGAGGCTTTGGCCTTGTTCGTTTTTGGCTGGTGTTCTTGTCATGGGATTTCGGCTTCGGACTCGAGGTCGCGCTGAGAGGCGTAGAGCGCACTTAGGTAAATGATAGGAAGGAAGAGAGAGAGAGAGAGAGAGAGAGAGCAAACAAAAAAAGCAAAGTGTCTCACAAAGGGACCGAACCGCCAGAGCACGCCCTCCTATGTGCAGAGGAAGGAATGAAGCAAGGAAGGAAGAGTGACGTGTGAAGGGGCACATCTGGAGGTCTGTAGGGGCCTCAGCCCTTCCAGAAGAAGAGTGGCTGTTTTTTTTTTGCGGGCAGAGGGCAAGCCGGTGGAGAGATGAACAGTATTAGTGTTGAGGTTTCAGGAGTATAGGGTTCAGGGATGTACATCTGACCCGGCTGGTTTCTTAGAGACCTGGATGCAAAAGAGTTCAGGGATGTTCAGGGTATGTTTAAGGAGTCATGGGGCCGAGGTGGGGCTTCCTGGAGGCCTGCATGATGGGCGGAGCAGGTGGCAAGGAGCTCCGGGCGGTTCGAGCTGTTGCTTCGTGATTTTGCTTTGCCATTTCTTGGGTCGGGGGGGGGGGGGGGGGATTCTGGGAAGGCTAGGAAGGAGGATCATATGCCGAGTGCTCTGAGATGGAGCTAAACACGCCTTCGACTTGTGATGCAAACCCTGGTCGCCCAAAGCTGTGAAGCCAAAGCCTCACGGTGCCTCATCATTGCTCCACCCTCAGAGGACTTCTCCCTCCTGGAGGGTGCCCCAGTGCTGCGGGGGGCGCCGGCACCTGGCCGCATGCCGGCTCCAGTGGAGACGGTGAGGACACCGGGGGTTTGGGGCAGGGGGTTGCTGGGCAGCCATGGAGTTTGAGTAGGGCTGAGGGCCAAAGCAGGGGAGTGCAACACGTAGTCATCCTCAGGCCGATAAGGAGTTGGGATCTGCCCCCAGTCATCGCTTCAAGAATGCAGATCCAGGCAAGAAAGTACCAGAATCTGGCGACTCCAGGTAAGTTGTGAAACCAGGGCTTAGCGCAATAGCAGCCGTTCGGTGAGGAAAGCAGTCATGGAGACATTGACTTTCCTCGAGGTGAGGAAGGTGGGCCCTGGCTCTAACAGGGTTCTTGGGCTTGAGGGCCTCGACATGAATAAGTTGCTCGATGCACTTTGTCTACCTGGCGGACAACTGCGTGATAGATAGGTTAGGACATAAGTATAGGTGTCTGCCTGATCGTCGTGGCTCCCAACAGAGGTTTCAGAACCGCGGTCGCGCCTTCAGGTCGGTTTAAGAGGCGGTGTGAGGGTTTGCATCTGTATGGGAGATATAGGTGTTAGGCTGTTAAGCTTTAGGCTTCGGCGCCCCCCACCCACCCACACCACCCCTCCATCCCTACCCACCATCTCATGTGCGTTTCAAGTGGATTTCGGATCTGCAATCCGCAAGCTCCCCCCCCCCCAAAAAAATAGGTGCCCTGTGCCTTTCCAGGCAGCGGCAGGCCATGATGGCCAGGCGGTGGCAGCACTGGAGACTGGGTTCTGGTTGTATTTTGAGGCCTTGCGGTTGAGGAGGGGTGTGAAAGCACCAGTACTTCAGGCTGAACTCAGATGAACATGCAGAGCCAAACCTCAACGACCCAGGAGAGAGCCGAGCTGGCAGCAGTGAGTTGTCCCCTGGCAGGAGTTTCGGGGATCGGGTTTAGGGTTTAGAGGTTTCAGAGTGCCAGCTGACGTTCAGAGAGTGGGTTCAAATCAAGAGGTTTCAGAGTCACAGTTGCGCTGACGGACTCATTTTCGCAGACTGGGTTGTGCAGGTTCAGTTTTTGCCAACTTCCAGGGATGCGGGATCCGGGATCTCAAACAGTGCCCCGATGAAGCTGTACACACACCCTAATGTTGGTGCCTACACTCATGCAGCATAAACTGCTTTGTAGTCTCCAGCATGCTATCTGCACAGGCATACATGAACGATACATGAAAGTGCACGATGTCACAGCACGCGGGTTGCGAATGCGGAGTGACGACCTCCAGGGATTCATGTCTGCCAAGCTCAACTCTGCGCCACTTCGCATTCGGCCTGCGCTATTTTGGCTCACAAGACTCACGCTGCCCTCTGCTTCATATTGCCTGGCCAACCTTTGGCCTTGGCCAAAAGCGCTACTACCAAAAGGCCGAGGTATAAGCACACCCTGTATGGGGGTTTAGGAAACTCGGGGACCCTAGAATCGACCCCCAAATGCTAGGATCCCCTTAAAAGAAGGACCCTGATGAGGTACCCCCGAATTTCGGAAACCCCCATATAGACTCAGACCCACAACATGGGTCTCTTGAACTTAGGAGCCTCAAAAAGGGGCTCAAGGAGTGACCCTGTTAGGGACCTCAGGGGGTTATTTGGGGGTTGTTTAGATAGGGGAATAAGATTAAGGGTCCCTTTCTAGGGCGTCCCTCCGAATGCCCTTAAGATCCGGAGGTGTGGATATTCGATCCCTTCTTAATGTCATGGTATGCCACCCGCGAAACCACACATTCTCTGTGACACCCGGCCAGCAATGCAGGCGGTGGCACACACTTGTGATGACCAGGCCCGTCTTCGGCAAAGTCTGTGGACATGTTGCTGAGACTTTGAGGTTTCAGGGTTTTCTTGATATAGTATCAGTGCAGACTAAAGATTAGAGACTTCCAGGCTTAGATCGGAGAGTGGATCCGCGAATGTGAGCAGCTGGGAAGCATCTGGGACAAAGCCGCAGTTGCGGTGGACTGAGGCCGAGGAGAGTGTTCTAGAAATCTCAGACAATACTCTGAGATTGGCGACAAGTGCAAGCAGTTGCCCCACTTAAGTAGCGGCCACATTGCTCCTGACTCCCGGATTTCCCAAGGTCAAAGATGCCCACAGGGCCAGGTCCAGCCCCAAACCACGCACGCCTTCATCTGCCTCACACCAGGAAAGAAAAGTTGGCACGGGATCCCTGAGCATCAGAACATTTTGCCCTAAATTCTCCATGGTTCTCTATGCCTTGCGTGCCAACACACACAAAGCAGCACGCATGAGTGACTCCTGTGTTTAGAGGATGGTGTGGAGCCCGCCTGAAGCAGGCTGCCTGCATCTCTCGCCGTTTTGGTGGCCTGCGCCTGAGGAAGTATCACGCAGACTCTTGTTATGCTAATGACAGGAAGTTGTTCAGTCTTGCAGCTTTTGAGTCTTGAAGCAGAGGAGGGATGCACATGTTGTCTACAGGAAAGAGGAAGAAGACAAGCCCTGATGTTTGGCCTCACGAGCCACGAAAAAAAAGCGCTAGGCCCTTTGGGAACATTGTATGTTTCCCTTACTGGGTTTAAGAGGCTCACATCTCGGAATCTATTTTCGGAAGGTTTTTGTGCCATCCTCGAAAAGGTTGGACCATTGCTTCTGCTTGCGTCTAGGCCATCGCTGCAGATGTTTTCGCACACTCGGAGGACGGGTTGGGGGGGGCCCAAGGTTGAAAAAAAACAGCTCCAAAAGGGTCTTAGGGTTTAGAGATGTTTAGAGTTTTAGGGTTTAGTTTCTTTTTTCTTTTCTTTTTGTTTTTTTTTTTTTTTTTGGGGGGGGGGGGGGGGGGGGGTGGGGGGTGGGGTGTTAGGGTTTAAGGTTCATATAGGGCCCTACAAGAAGGGTCAAACAGGGTTGTCAACCTCAGGCCCCCACAACTTTCTGAAGGCGCCCGACACGCTTGGAGCCCCTCATGGGTCTCAACAAAACCAGGACCACTCAAAGTCCTAAACCCTAAACCCTGAACAGTCTTTAGGGTTTAGGGTTTAGGCTTTAGGGTTTAGGGTTTAGGGTCTGTTTA